TGGTGCCGGAACACTTGGTGACACCCCCTCCAACAATCACCGCAGGGTGGATCGGATCTGCGGATTGAGAATAATGGATCGGAGTATGATCCATTATCCTCCACAATCTGCAGATCCAATCCATCCTGCGGGGATCATCGGCTTGCAACCTATAAGGTCAGCTGATCTCTCCACAAGCTCCATGAAAAGGTACGTTTTAAAGCAAGCTGACGATCCCCACAAGATGGATAGGATCTGCGGATTGGGGAGCATAATGGGTCGCAATCAGTTTCAGGATATCAAGACCAATTGGTCCTGATGGTGCTGTGCCATACTTTGACTGTCCCTCGGGTCCTCGCATCCAGTAAAGAGCTATGGACTTAGCTTAAAATGTTGGAGAGATTCACATTCCTGGTTACCCTGAAAGTGAAGATGTGCGGGGGAGTCCAGCATTTTTCACTGGAACAGAAATAAGGAGTCCAATGAAATCTCCATACAAGACACTGAAGTCCATCCTCTGGAGGAGATATTAGAGCCTCCTTCTGGTTATCCTCCTCACCGTTTTACTTCTCTTCTTCCTGGGAATATTCCTCCACTCCTTCCCGAGTGGAGCATTAGGAGGAGGAATTTATGTGCTGGAGATCAGGAACGGTTGTCCTGGGAGTCCATTGTTGCAAGTTCAAGAAGAACATAATATTACAAGCGATCTGATCTAGTCCTTGGGAAATCATTAATCAAAGCTCAGTGTGCCAACCATGAGAGTGGGAGGCAACACTTTTTGGTGAGTGCACACCTGAGAGGGGCGCACCACACAGTTATATTTATTTTAATTTTAAGTTTTAAGTTTCTTCACGTGGTGATCGTTAGATGGACTGAGTTATTTGGACTTTTTGTTGGAATAACACAAAGCATTTATTTCACACTATTAGTATTATTTAAGTGGACAATATTATTTATTATATGTTATTTTTTATTCACTATTCACATTTTTTATATATGTAACTTTATAAATATTTTGTACACTAATTGATTTAAGTGCCACTGGAATACTTTTTTGAAGTGTTTTTTTTCATATGTTTATTATATTTCAAAGTGGCAGCGTGGTGTTTATACACAGACAGGAATTAGTAAGCATATAATTCTAATTTTAATTTTAATTGTGGGCATATTTAGAACAGTTTGGTGGTTTCATACCTTAGTCCTCTTTATAATATCCCAATTTGTTTAAATAATAAGTTTGTTGCCCCATATTTTTATCTGAATCTATTTTTGCCTATTTTTGCCTGACACACAAGGTCTCAAGTGTTCTTTTGAATACCCCCTGTCTCTCCCTGGTGCATGGATGCTTCACTTTCCCTTAGAAGAGTACATCATCCCAGCTTCCTAAAGAATCCAGGGATTGCATAACATTAAAATTATGGAAAAGCATCAAGTGGTTGGAGAAAAAAAAATGGTTTTATATGTTTTTTTGTTTTTTTATTTCAAACTGTATATGGGTGGGAGTACGGGTGGGTGGATTTGGAACAGAGTGAGGGGGGATTACATTTGGCGGAAGATGGGGTTTATTTGCCATATTACTAGAGAATAGTTATTTCTATTTGTAAGCTTATATAGGACAAAGACAAATGCTAAACCTTGAAAGTACTAATAAATACTTTTAAGACCAAAGCCAAAGCTTAATGTGCACTCATGAGATTCTGTTTCGCTCTTAAAGGTATTTTATAAGTATAGTATTTTTTTTTTAAAGCATGCACCGCATATGAACAGGTTTGGAGGAAGTGGCGGCATGAGTTTTTTAATTAGTTATTTGTTGAGTACTTTAGAGTATGTTTGGTAGTACATAAATGAACGCCATTAATAAAATGATTGTAAAGTCCCTTTATTTCTTACTATTAAAGAAAATAAAGTAGGCCTAAACATACACTTCTGCTTATTAAAGGATAAGCTCACCTTTTGACAAAAAATATTAAATGCACATTTTTTGCAGGTACGAAAACGTGCATTTATTATTTTTTGTTGCAGGAGCCTATGAAGCATTGCACCAGCAATCAGCAGATCACTGGTGCAATGCAGGTCTCCTGCAGACCTGTCAGTATATGACCCATACAGTGCCATAGTAGTTCATTGAGAACTACAAGCCAACAGCTGCTAAGGCTGTCAGGACTTGTAGTTCATTCATTCACAGAACTCTGTGAATGAATGACGTATGGCCGCACTGTTTTTACAAAGTTACAGCTTGTATGGGGAACTTCTCCCGTACTGATGTCACAGGGAGGGGGAGGGAATTGGGTAGCAGCTGCAGCATTGTGAACATGTTACGTGTTCCATCTTAAAAACGGGTACATGTAACATGTTCCTAAAGGTGAACTAATTCTTTAAATGTAGTATAAATCTGGACAATATATTAAATTCTATAAAATTCTATAAAATGTAAGAATTAGAAATTAAACGATCAATTCCATTTAGTATTCTCAGCACATAATTATGATATAGGTGGTTAGGCAAGACATTTCCAAGAAGACTGCTGCTTCAGAGAAGGGGCCTGCTAATTCCTGCAATTAAACTATTTAAAGGAAGTCTGAAAGTGCTAATAGTGCATGTGTTCTATTAGCAAATAGTTTTATTATCTTAAATTAGAAATATTGTAAATTAGCATAAATTCAAGGCATTAATTAATTACTACAAATTGGAAAATTGTTCCCTTATCTTTAGTTGCTGTGAAATGTATTTAATAATGAACATGTACTAATTACTGTGATTTTCTTATATTTTTTTAAACATCAGAATTGACCTAGCTTAATTCCGTACATCTTTACCGATATTGTGCTTCGGTAATTTAAAACCAACAGTTAGATATAAGGCAAAAAAAACTATTTTGTATTGACAATTCTTAACACATACGATTTTTTTACTACTATTTTGCCTAGGATATGTCAAACTAGCATTCAAATATAAGGCACAGAAAACTGAGCTGTAGAAGTATTTTGTTAAGTATAGAAGTATATGAACAGAGCCTCAAGAAAAATACGTTAATGCAATTGTATTGGTGTAGAGTAAAAATTTAAAAAATTTGCATTTATTATGACTTCTTGCATTCTGTATTGGCATTATATTTAGAAGATTCATGTTTTTTTTTCATTTCCTCTAGGTTTAAAATCCAGTATTTCTGCAGATCTAGGCTCTTTGGAATCCACAAACAGCCATAATTAAGTTTCACCTATGTTTTTTTGTTTTTGATTTTTTTTTTAATAACAAACATGTCACACATACCTTCTCTGTGCAATGGTTTTGCACATAGCAGCCTCGATTCTCCTTTTCTTGGGTCCCTCTGCCGCTGCTCCTGGCTCCTCCTCTCCCGTCAAGTGCCCCCATAGCAAGCTGCTTGCTATGGGGGCACTCATGCGTGATTGCTCCTGAGCCCAGCTCTGAGTGTCAACAAAGCACATAGAGTGGGGCTTGGCCCAACCCCCGCTCCCTCGTCACTGGCTCTGATTGACAGCAGCGGAAGCCAATGACTCCTGTTGCTGTAGCTGAGCCAATGAGGGATGAGGGAGCTGAGAGAGCCTTGGCTCTCATGCACATTGCTGGATCAAGAACAGGTTCAGGTATGTATTTAGGGGGAGCTACGAGGGAAACTGCACTTTACAACCAATTCAAAAGCACATTTGTAATACATACATATAAGCTGTGTTCAAGTTTCTGTTAATCCATTCCTAAGATTTACATAGTTCTACCACACAGCACAGCCAACATGGTGACCTGATTTTTTTCTACTGCTATTAAGCAAACTGTGATTGGACAATGATGGAGCATCTACAGACTAATGAGGTGATCTCTCTGCTCTCTAGTCCTGTCAGTGTGTTCCTTTTCAGCATATGTACATACAGCACACCTGGTTGGTTCTAACTACTGCTCTTCCACTCACAGTGTTGTAGAGGAGGTTAAAGGAGGATAAAATCAAGTCAACTTCAGGCATTTATACTATAAAGATTTAAAATAAATGTAATACTGTTTTTATTAACTGCAAAGCTGTGCAAAATTATATATATATATATATATATATATATATATGCTTTTGTATTTCTGGGTAGGGGGCGCTACTATTGATCAGAGATTTCCCGCTGGCACCTGGCGATCGCCGAGGAAAACTGATATGAAAGAGGTCTGAACGTAAACAATACAGATGTCTCCCCTGTCAGCTCCACTATGCTACTTTGTATTGCTTGGCATAGCAGAGCAATACAAAGAAGCAGCGTGCTTACACAGTAAAACACAGCACACAGTAAAACACACACAGCACACAATTAACCGTTTGATTGCCCCAGATGTTAACCCCTTCCTGCCCAGTGTCATTAGTACACTGCCAGTGCTTTTTTATTAGTTGTTAGTGTCACTATTAGTCATTAGTGTCACTGGGGATGTCAGTGGCAGTTAGTCACTTCCCCCCCAGTGTCAGAATGCCTGCATATAAAAAATCCAGTATATATACCGCCATTTGTAGACGCTATAACTTTACATGTATTGGGATTTTTTTAGCAAAGACATGTAACAGAATACATTGTGGCCTAAATTTATGAAGAAATTAGATTTTTTTACATTTTTTTTACTGGATATGTGTTCTAGCAAAAAGTAAAAAATATTGGTTTTTTTTTCAAAATTGTTGGTCTTTTTTTTGTTTATAACGCAAAAAATAAAAACCACACAGGCAATCAAATACTACTGAAAGGAAGCTCCATTTGTGTGAAAAAAAGGACATACATTTCAATTGGGTGCAGTGTTTCATGACCGCACAATTGTCAGTTAAAGTAACGCAGCACCGTATCGCAAAAGTTGCCTGATCAGGAAGGGGGGGAAATCCACTGAAGGGCAATTGGTTAAATAAATAACTGCATGATTCAGTTGTTTTTAGTATCTACCTGCAGGTCAGCTTCAGAGAAACCTCTGTAGTTTCAGTAAGCCCCGCTAAGGGCAATCATTTTTAAACTTGGGACGAAAAAAAAAGTTTTTTTTCTTCGTTTTTGTTATACAATTTTGTAAATAAGTGATTTTTCTCCTTCACTGATGTGCGCTAATGAGGCTGCAGTGATGGGCACTGATAGGCTGCACTGATGGACACTGATAGGTGGCACTGATGGGCACTGATGAGGAGGCACTGGTAGGTTGCACTGATGGGCATTGACAGGCATCACTGATGGGCACTGAAAGGCAGCACTGATACATGACACTGATATATGGCACTGATATATGGCACTGATAGGCAGCACTGACTGGCACTGATAGGAGGCACTGGCTGGCACTGTTAGGCAGCACTGACTGGCACTGTTGAGCACTGACTGGCACTGATAGGTGGCACTGACTGGCACTGATAGGTGGCACTGATGCGCACAGATAGGCGACACTGACTGGCACTGATAGGTGGCACTGATTGGCATTGATAGGTGGCACTGACTGACACTGATGGGTGACATTGAAAGGCAGCTCAGATGGGCACTGATATGTGGCATTGATGTGAAACTAGTATGCACTGATATGTGGCATTGATGTGGCACTGATGGACACTGACAGGTGGCACTTCTGGGGCCACACTGATCATCAGTGCCCTGATGATCAGTGTACATGTCTTCTGTCTTCTCCGCGGAAAGCCAATTACCGGCTCTCCTCTCCTCTCAAGATGTCAACGTGACAGCTTGAGAGGAGAGAAATGCCAATAACCGGCATTTCCGTGTTTACATGTGATCAGCTCAGACACAGCTGATTGGACATCTTCAGCGTGAGCCGCTATCCGAGGGACACATGACCGAGCCGACATCTTCTGTGGCGCGCTCCCTGAGCCGCGTGAGCCGCTATGTCAATTGGTTAAATAAATAACGAGGGACACAGCTTCAGGAAACCTCTGTAGCGATCGCCACGCTTGCGTTATACGCTCCCTGATGTGCCGCGCAGTGATGGGCACTGATAGGCTGTGAGAATGGGAAGGACTGGTCATAGGACGACATCAGAAGGAAACGTCATGACGTCCTATCAGAACGAGAGAACCACCTTGCGCCCGTCATTGTATTATATGGCGGGCGGAAGGTGGTTAAAAGAGGTATAGATCCAGAGAGAGATATCATTGTACCCCTGTACAAATCATTAGTAAGACCTCATCTGGAATATGCAGTTCAGTTTTGGGCACCAATTCACAAAAAGAACATTGGGGAACTGGAGAAAGTGCAGAGAAGGGCAAGCAAACTGATAAGAGGCGTGGAGGAGATCAGCTATGAGGAAAGATTAGAGGAACTGAATTGATTCTCTCTTGAGAAGAGGAGATCAACATGTATAAATACATCAGTGGTTCACATAGTGAACTCGGTGTAGAGCTATTCACCCTGAGGTCATCACAGAGGACAAGAGGCACTCTTTACATCTGAAGGAGAAGAAATGCAATCTCCAAACACGAAAAGGTTTTTTCGCAGTAAGAGCTGTGTAAATGTGGAATAGACTCCCTCAAGAGTTGGTTCTGGCCAGCTCAGTGGATTGCTTTATAAAAGGCCTGGATTCTTTCTTGGATACACAGAATATAACTGGTTACTACTTACAGGTAAAGTTGTTCCAGTGAATATCTGATTGCCTCTTGAGGGGATCAGGAAGGAATTTTTTCCCCTGCAGGAGCAAATTGGATCATGCTTTGCTGGGTGTTTTGTCTTCCTCTGAATCAACTGTGGGTGTAGGATTTTTTTTTTATTTTTTTTTTAATGGTTGAACTTGATGGACTTTTGTCTTTTTTTCAGACAGACTAACTATGCAACTATGTAACTATCTAAAGCCAAACTGAACTGGATGTAATAGGATGTCTTTCCAATGTAAGGGAATTTCCCTTGTGGATAATTGCCACAGAAACAAGTGTCCCCATTGGATGATTTCCCTTCTATTCCTGTTCTGGTGGCAACTCAAAATTATGGTTTTAGCTTTACATTCATTCCAGGTGACATTGTAAAAACAGAACAATTAGAAAGAGTAAATCTTCTTAAAATAGACACAGACATTAAAAAAAAAGTAACAGTGGTTTTGACAACTCAAAATCTAAAACAAATTTATATGAATCATCTTGGCTTCTTATGAATGAAACACATACTAATAGATTAAAGGCCAGCTTCACACCAACTGATATTTTAGGTATTAATGGATTCTAGTAAGTTGACTCACATGCAGGTTTCTCATATCTCTTGGGAAATTATGAAATTCACAAATTACAAATTCTGTGAATGCTGTGTACAGCTGTGTCTGTACAGCTATATCTGATGTGTCAGCAGTATATAAACAAATAAGTAAACAATTTCATCAAGTGTTTGCAGACCCTTGACCATTACGGATAAGATCTCAGTTTGGGTGCTGACACCCACCTCATCCTTAGCAACCAGAGAGACCACCCAACCCCATTCATTGTCTGGCAAGCAATACCTGGCCAGGTAAAAAAGAGGCAATGTTGATGTTATGATGGTCAAAAAGTATGTTTCTTTATTCACATTTTACTTTTTTTTTTGTGGGTACCACTTACTCACTTATGTGGGGTGGTATCTGGGGGGGAATCTTTCAGGTTCCAATAAGCTCCCTGCCTGCTGACACCCACAACCATCAGGTCAGGGTTTTGAAGAAGAGGCCATTGTCATAATCAATATGGAAACAAAGAACTTTGCCAGGGGGTCCCCTCTTATGTTGAGGGCATGTGGCCTGGTATGATTCAGGGAGGACAGGCATACACTCAACTCCCCCTTTGCATGGTCAGATTTGGGTTTGATATGGATTTTGGGGACCTCATTTTTTTTCTTGTTTTCTGCACAGGGTCCTTTCTTGAAATCCATAATATTCACCATAAGTGTCTAGTAGAGATTAAAGGAATCCCCAGCCATTTTGTTTACAAGTGCATCAAAGCTGTCATTTAATGGCAATTTAATACTGTGGTTGCTGACTTTTAATAGTACAGCATTTACCTGTCCATGCATCCAGCGGTATCCTCACCCCAAACCGATTCTTCAATCAGCTGTTGGGTGCCACCTTGACTAAGGGCATCTTGGCTTCCTACTGCGCATGTGCGAAGCGCACTGCGCTTTATGAATAAGCTGCAGTCTTCCTGGATCTTGGAAGTGTCCTAGAGGGCTTTGGGGGGTACCAAAGTGGGAGCGGGTACCTGTCAAAACCAGATACCTGCTCCCCCCAAAAAAGTGCCAAATGTGGCAGCAGAGGGGGGGAGGAGGCAAAAATGCTGAGCTTCCACTTTTGGGTGGACTTTTTTTTCCTTTGTAAATGTCAGTTTTGCTGTAGCAGGCTGTATGCAGCGTACGGATGTGCAAATTCACAGGCAGGTTAGAGCCTCTCCAGTCATGTTATTTAAAGTGATTTTGAAATTTTAATCACAAAGGAAGATGGACGCCGCTCAAACCGACCCACATGCATTGACTGAAGAATTCTATGTTGACCAACACAAACACTCTTCAGTCAATGCATGTGGGTCAGTTTGAGCGGTGTCCATCTTTCTTTGTGATTGCACACTCTTGGATAAATTCACATTTTGACCTAAATTTATGAAGAAATTAAATTTTTTTAAATTTTTTATTGGATATGTTTTATAGCAAAAGTCAAAAATATTGTTTTTTTTTTTTCAAAATTGTCGGTCTTTTTTTGTTTATAGCACAAAAAATAAAAATGCAGAGGCAATCAAATACCAATGAAAGAAAGCTCTATTTGTGGGCAAAAAATGACATAAATTTAATTATGTACAGCGTTGCATGACCACGCAATTGTCAGTTAAAGTAATGCAGCGCTGTAACACAAAAATATGGTCTGATCAGGAAGGGGGGGTAAATCCTTTGGAGGGCAAGTGGTTAAAAAAAAAAGGTTTGTCATGTGACTATGCATCTCCTGATAGTGGGGGAAGGGGTTACAGGAAACTGTGCAGACACATAGGAGTTTATTTACTAAAGCTGGAGAGTCCAAAATCAGACTCCCTTCTGCATAGAAACCAATCAGCTTCCAGGTTTCATTGCCAAAGCTTCATTGAACAAGCTGAGGTTAGAAGCTGATTGGTTTCTATGCAGAAGGGAGTCTGATTTTGGACTCTCCAGCTTTAGTAAATAAACCCCATAGTGTGCCTGTATTTCATAATCTGTTCAGGCTAAGGCAACATGCAAGCTGTGATTGGGAGGGGCTGTGTGCCAGAGGTAGACTGTGAGTGGTCAGGGGACGTGGTGGCTGGACAAACTACCCAATACAAGCATTCTAGATGTGATAGAAGGTCACAAGGACAGGAAGTGCCGTGATATCTCTCTGATGAGGACAGAGTCCATGGTAAAGCACCATTGTTTAGTAGAGAGGGGAAAGGTTAGCATGTTGTCAGATATTTATTGCTGTCTGTGTCTTCCTGTATCATATCCTCTAATTTCTAGTCCTGGTGTCACATGGACAGGAAGTAAAGGAATATCTCCCCAATGAGGACACACTCTGTACTAAACTATAAAACGGGGATGACTAGTGACCCCATGGGGAAGGGAAGGCTCACTTTGCTATTTATTTATTTTTTTCTTCAGTCATAATTGTGGCAAACTTGCTCATCAGAATTGGAGCGGAGTTCCCCCTCAACCCTCTTTTTCGTGTTCTGTCTGTTTATTTGAGGCATTCCTCAGCCTTATTCCTACCCTCCTCCCTTCCTGAGAGGCAAACTTTACCTCCTGGCAAATGGTGTGGAACAACCAGGAAGACATGAGAAGTGGAGCCAGCCAGTCTGCGGAGGTGTCACTTTTATCACCCAAAACTATGTAAGCCCACTCATTATCAAACCAACCAGAATAAGTGCACAGTCCTCAGGTCAACTGTATGGTTCATATCACGGGATATGAAGCTGGTAATTTAGTGTAGAGTTTCCCAATGACCACTCCCAAGTCAGAGCCCCCCTCCCTTCCCCTGAGAGGGACCTTTAAGTGAGTTGGTCTGAGACACTCACACACACAGAGATCTCCGAGGTAACATCGTAACAGAGGAGATCAAAGAACCTTTCTGCTCTGCATCTTGAATTTGCTAAAACCAGGCAAGGCAAGTAACTTACCCTGTAATTTCCTCGCTATTCTATGTTTGCTGTGTCTTTATATACATATATATATATTTTTGTGACTTCTTTGTAACTATTTATTTTGCATCTGTTTGACCGTTAGAAATAAATCTTTCTTTCTGAAAGTGTTAAACTGTTTCTAAGCGCTTACTTGCAATTCACGAATCCCTGCCTTTGAAGAGACGCTACGGGTTGTCATATCTCTGTATAGCAGGTCCGCGGGCCGTGCTATATAGATCAATATTTCAATCATTATAGTGTATATTTGGTAACGGGAGTTTCCCAGTCTCCGACAAAAGTGGTGGTGGCAGTAGAGGGTTAGTTGCGTAACTAACCCGACCCAGTAACAAGCGCATTCAGGCTGCAGGCACCGATTGTAGTCCATTAGCTGGGCAATCGCTGTGTAGGGTGCAGCTGGGTGGGGCCTTGTTACGCGCGTCACACCGCGGTTTTGGATCGGCCGGCCCTTCGGTCACGAGTTTGGTGAGAAGGTCTGGGGTCTGACGCCGTGGGCGTGACGTATTACTGTTAGTCGCGGCTGTGCGATTGTCGCCTGTTGGTGGCGGCGGCCGCGGGTCGTGACAATAATATGTTAAGTAAAATATGAAACATAAGTAATGCGTAGATGATTAGGCATACAGTAAGTTGTGTACACAGA